TGGTAAGGAGAATATCATCTTTCTTAAATTTCAGTTATTAATCCAATGTTCTACGAGACTGGGGGGAGGACTTTTGGCTTACTTTGTTTTTCTTTCAGGGCTGTAGTCACCTTGATTTCTCAGCCTTTGAAGGCATCAGTGAGGCTCCATCTGAGCTGAGACCCATGCCCTGAGATTTACCTGGTTCCTGCTCAAATGTTCCCAATCCTCAGCCCCCTGGTATCACCGCACTGAGTCACACCATCTTCCTCCAGAAGAAAACTGGCAAAGACATGTCAGCTTCCCTGTCCCACAGCCTGTTCCTCCTACTCTTCCACAGACACTCATTTTGTCTGGTTTTCCATCTTCTAACTCCTTCACTTGCCTTAGTGACTCAAGCCTATCGCCTTTACACCCACTCTCATCCTCTTCTGAGCATTTTCTGTCCTTTTCATACACATTTCTCCTACACGCACACATCAAAGCTTTCACCAGTGTCTCAAAATCTGAACTGGGAGACACCGGGCCCTGTCCTGTGGCACCACAGGGCCCCTCCACTGGCATCCTTCTGGGCCTCCAAGATGACACACAAACCCACCTCTTTCTACATCTTAGTTTTAATGCAATTCTCCACCATTTTGTGATGTCGTCATATCCTTCTTTGCACAAATGTGTCCTTGTCTGTGAAGGACAAAGCACTAAGACCCACTTGCCATTTGCTCATGTTCCCCATGCTGCACCTCCAGCACCCACTTGTCCCCAGTGAGAACCCCAATGAGTCAACAGAATGTCTGTGAAGGCATCTACAGGTTATGATGGCAATGATGATACTGGGCTAACTAACACTAACTTCCCTTACGTTGTTCTCCAGAAATCCCTCAACCTACTTGTCTCTATTCCCAACAGAACAAAACTCAAGGATTGGAGATGGTGTTGCTTTGTGACATTCACCTTTATTTTTGCAGGAGTATGGCCCTGTCTACTATTTCCTCTTTCCTTCAGTGCACTGCCCATAGTCTGTTTATAGTATCTTCTCTTAAGAATTTGTCAGTGCTTTTTTCAAAATAAAATACTCGCCTGACAAAAATTGAATTATTAAAGATACCACTGAAAGCACATGCTTGCAACAGAGTGAGCAAAGGACAAGAAAAACACAGCTAAAAGGTAGATGCAGGGCCCCTTCCAGCATGACTATTCTGTAACTGCAACATTCAATTTTGCTCCAAGAGCTGAAGAGACGTTCTAAGCAGCAAGGCTTAAATGCAGATAAAAACCACTCAAATGCTGAGCAGGAATGAATTGTGTGAACCCACTCTTAAAAATGCTCCTCCCAGAGGCTGGGACCCCACCTGCAGTGGGAAGAGGACATACACCCCCCGCTCTGCAGGAAGCTGCCCACAACCCATTCCCCCTCCAGCCTTGGCTGACAGCTGCCTTCTCACAGCTAAGGCTCTTTCCACCTGATTTTGGTACTTTTTCATTAGTACTTGGTCACAGAAGCTGCTTCCCATTAGCTCACCTGCTTATTGATATTCAGTGCTACCCCCAAGTTTAGCCCTGGAGAGATCAAACCATAACCCAGCACACTGTGCAGAAACGGGGCACCAGTTTGAAAGGTCAGATCCCCATAAGGATATGATTTGATTCTTCCATTTTGCTTGTAACAGAATTATTGAGGTTTTTATACATATATTTGGATGAATTCAGTCACCCAAATCACATAACAGACTTGCTGAGGACTACAACAGCACCCTTAAAGGCCAGCTAGTCCATACACCCTGCAGTGAACAGGAACACCTACAGCTCAATCAGGTGCTCAGAGTCCAGTCCAGCCTGACCTTGAGTGTCTCCATGTGCCATCACTTCTGCACTGGTTGGAAAACTTTTGCAAGAGGAGCAATGAGAATCTGAAAGAATGCGTTTACTCACTCATCAGTAAGCAGCTGTATCTGGAGCTGACAGAACACAGCTTCAGTTTTCTAGTAGTACAATCCAAGGAGCTTTAACTCAGGAGGGAAAATCATCTTTCTAGCTTTCATATATTTCATTGAACCATGCATTTATGCTCAAGAGCTTCTCAGTACATTAATTTGGTAACAACATAAAATGCACACAAAATTAGGGAATGGTTTTCAAAAATAGGTACCTGAAGTGCCTTATTCCATACTGAGGTATGCGAGTCTGATTTTCCATACCACCAACCACCCCCAGCCTGCACAGAGGGCGATGGGTGCCCAACAGTCAATGAGTTGCACTGCTGAACAGCAGCATCCCACTTGCTGACAGCCTTCCAGCGAAGGTACTTGCACAGGCTTCATAAAATGCAAAAGTCCAAAACAACATGCCCTGCAATTATCCACGCTGAGAAACAATCTTAATCATGATATCATCACTGTTTCGTCTATCCTTAAACTGCCACTGAAAAGTTTTGCTTTCCCTTCATTTCTCCCCCTCCTCCCTAATGCTTTAATCCTCCCCTTCAAGTTTTATCATCCTATCAACACAAATATTGCAGTTGTTGTTCAGTGTGTCAGACTGTCAGATCTTTTCCCTTATGTTTAGGGATACTCTCCTTAGTACATATTCAGCAATTGCAGCTTCAGAGGACAGGTTGTTCCACCAAAAGATGCTGGTTTGGTTTTGGATACACAAGGCTGCAAAGTTTTAGATAAGGTTTAAAAACGAAAGGAAAATAAAAATCAGGTTTCTATCTCTACCCACATTAAGCACTTGGGAAAAAAAATAGTAACTAAAAATATTTAATACTAAAGGTACAATTTCAGAACATGACCTTGATGAAGCCGACCTGTTGTACTCCTTTCCATCAGCTAACAGTTTTGATGTAGGCACAAAACACCATGTTTCCTGAAGACTGACTCTATTCTTAGGTGTGTATTTAGTCTAAAAGCCATTGAGGAAAACTGAAATCAGAAATTTGAAACCAAGAACGATCTTTTTAATCACTTGGATTTGCAGTGGAGTGTTTCAAACTTTGTCATCTAAGCGAGAATGTGAAGGAAGAGCTGGTTTCATCTTTCCCAGAACAAAGGTAATTACTGGAAATAGAGCGGTAACTCCCTGATGCAATCTATCCATGGAAATGCCTCTATTTTGGCTTGGTTGAAAAGATTCTTATCACTTCAAATTAAATTGAGATAAACAGAATTAAGGCAAGCGTTCATTTTGGTCTGGAATCATGCTTAAGCTTAAAATGCAGAATATGTTTCTTTGTAAACTAGCCACATGTTTCTTTGGAACATGTGACAAGAACAGCATTTCATTTTTTTTTTCCCCCCAAACCAATTGTTCATGCAAATAGGAAGAGATTTCCACTCCAAGAGTGGTTCCTAACAAGACACATCATGCTGTCATACCTCAAGTTGGTAGGACAGAGCTTGTTTGCATGTAACATTTGTGACCCTGTACTGCAATCCGTCAGCTACTCGAGTAATCACAGCACCGTTAAAACACTTGAAGTAGAAAACTGAAATTAAAATAGTGTTTTATATAACTGAGTTTTTCCTGAAACCAAAGATATTGAAAACAACAACCTACTGTTATTAACACTGAAAAGATCTTTAACACCTAGCAGTACCCATTCTAAGCTCTGGATGCCTGTGTTTCCAGCAAGCTCAGTCCCTGCCCTTCTCTTTCCACTGGAAGCAGGTGGAACTGTGCAGTCATCAGCAGCTGATAACGACACCTTGAGAAGCACCAGGTCACCCTATTAATTAGCTTTGCTGTCATTCCACAGACATCTGATAGCTAGAAAACCTGTTTCCATTTTATTTCAAGACAAAACTTTCCTACTTACAGCTCCCTTCTTTCATACATGGACACTTAGGAATGTCCTTCCTAAATGTTCCTATTTAGGAAGAAGTATGAATGCTTAAATTCCTAATTCCATACATAGCACTAAGCCACTCTTAAAAACTTCAGAAAGCTGTACGAAGAGCCAAAGCTGCTAATTGAGGCACTTAGGTGAGGTAGCACTCCTACTCACCAGCCTCACCTCTTTGCTGCTGAGAAATGGACACTGATGAGCAGCAACCACAGAATGTTTGCAAAACTGCCCTCCTCCAGTATGCTGCCTCTCTCCAAGTCACTGGGACATTTTGACCAGGAGTTAAAGTCTGAATTAAACCAGATTTCTGGGTAAGCTCCTGCGATTACTTCCCAAAATTATGAGCTGTGAGAATTAGCAAAGGTAACACTACTACTTAAAAATTAAAATATCTCAAGGCTGATTAAGCTTTCAGGGATATACTTCTGTCTCATTGGAGCATTAAATAAAAATTCTGTGTCAGTCAAGAGTAGAGCTGCAGTTCTCCTGCAGCTCTTCAAGTTAGAGTAGATGTTCTACTGAAACCATTCATTTATGCATGCTACTTACTCACAGATTTATAAAGAAATACATCTATGCTTCAGTGTATGCTCATCTTCAAATCCCATCAAGCCAAAGAATGAACAGAAATAGCCTTTGTAAAAATATTACCTGAGACATATGTATATTACCTAAGACAAGAGAAGATAGAAGTATCACAAGTTCAAATCAGTTGCCATAAGCTCCAATTTAAATCCCTCAATTAAAAGTTACTTAAATAAATAAACAGAGTGCAATACTCTATCTCAATCCAGCCCCCAGGTCAGCTTTGTCACCTAGTGACTTCACTTCAAAGTAGTAACTACTTCAAAGTAGTAACTTTGGTCTTTTACTTCATCGTCATCAGTAACACTAAAAGTCATTTTCCAGAGGCCTAGAAATCTGAAGGTTCAAAATGTGGCACACTCAGATGTGTTCTGCACTTGGGTACTGGCTGGCAACACGGCTCAAGCACCTGGAACCAGATGACATGACCCACTGAAACAACAACCTTTTTCAACACTGCAAAGCTCTGTTTCTAAGGATATGGGTGCAACAAGCAAGCAATATTTAACCTACAGAAATAATGATAGCAGCTTTTAGACCATTAAAAATATTGATTTATATAATACTGTGAAAAGTCACACGGAGACTTCAGTAATCTACAAAACAAAACGTATTTACAAAATAGCTCATACAAAACCAAAGACAACAGTACAAATACCAAGACTGAGCACCTGCCTATGTCAGCATGACCAAGTGCATGCCCTACTTCAGGGGCTCACCTGGCCTTCTTCCTCAACTGCACTCATCATTGCACTGATAATTAACTTCTTGAGTAAGAGAGCAGAAAACGGATAGGAAAATCATTTGATTACTAATGAGATATTAATATTAACCTTAATGCAAAACAGAAGAACAGTAACTTGCAAAAAAAAATGTTGAATGTTTTAATGCAGTTTTGAATCATAATGAAGATTAAGATTTTACATCTATAAACAAATTAGCAGAATAATAAAAAGTGGTTCCACATAACTTATAAATTCTTTTTCCAAAAAGATGCTTTTCACAGATTTAGGCAACAAATAAGATGCTGCATTCCAGATCTTTCTGATTTAAAAGTACACAAAACTTGTGAAAACTGATGTGCATTATTTGAAAGACAAAAGCTTGATTTTGCCCAGTGATGAACATTCTGTGAAGTTCTGAATATTCTGCACAATACTGAAACTGTAACTGCAACTCTTCTCCATTTTATGAAATGTTGGACATTGTTCAATGCTGAAAAAGCTCTCTCTAGAATATCCAAACCTATGAAATGTTTCTCACGTGTTTAATCAGCGCAGTACTGTTCACTACCACTGCTCATGTGTGATTTGCTTCAAGGGAAGTGGAAACTGGGGTTTAATCTTCAGTACAGTATATAAAATTAAGCGAAGAGTTAGTTCAAATCTAGTTGAGTATTCGCCTGCTCATAAGAACGTGGCTGTAGCACCTTGTTTGATATTTCTTCAAAAATGAACGCATATAATTGTCCCATTCTGGTGCCAGAGGTCTGTTCCTCTGGTGATATAAAAAGTTTGCAGCAATGATTATCAGACTACATAGAGTCTCATGGTCCTGTATTACATCTGTATACTGGAGACATTTAAGCAGTCGATTCAGGCTAGCAGGACCAAAAGCAGTGACCCTCTCTCCCTCGCCGCACATAACTGACGGTTGGGCCATCACTCAAGATGTTACACGCAAGCTCTGCTACAGAAACTGCTTGTGCTGGCTGGAGAGAAACTTCTCTCTCAACTGAAAGAAAATGTGAGCCTTTTTCCTTAAAGAATAAAATCTGTCAACATCAAATGGCTTTAAAAATCCAGAAAAAAAATAAGTGAAAATAAATGCTGACACCATCTTTAACCCTTTTTATCAGGAGACTTAAAGCTCTGCAGCCACTTTCCTCAACTTCACTAGTTCTGGTATTTTAAGACTGCTTCAGTACAGTTCTGTATATAACTTCTACCTCAAGAAAAAAAAAAAACAGAAAAATACACTATGGAATTTAAGATGAAGCTACTATGATGGCTCATACTATAAAGATATTAGACTCATTTTCCATTACATACCTTGATCTTCCACAAAACCAATTCTAGGACTCTAGTTTCCCTGCAACTATTCAATCCCATCCCATCCCATCGCACTGCAACGCTTTTACACGTCAGCCAACAAGGAACCCAATTAACACATCAGCCCTGAACCGCGTTGTAGAGGACACGAGCACAGTTACAGCTTCACATATTCCAAAGAATGAGATAAAAAGTTCCAATTACTTATCTAATGGCAGCCCAGCATAAACTTTCCCACTGTAACAGCACACCCTTAGCTTACCCTCACCCTTCATCTTCCAGTGTGATATGTCAAACAGTTAGGGGCAGGATCTCCCTCTAGCTAAAAAGAAGTGTCTGACTGAAGCAGCCTTCCTGTTCTTTTGAAGATGTCAGCTGCCATTTGCACTTACATAAATAAGCAGCAGTTGTGGTATAACACCGCACTGCCAGTGCAAAAAAGGCTGGGCACAGTGCGGAGCAAAAGCACAGTAAGATCATTGGGGAGAAAGAAGGGAGGTCTACACTAATTATCCCATGTACGACAGTATAAGGACTGCAACAGCCCCTTGCCACAGCTGAGAACACAAAGGTAACAGATGATGTTTACTTATCATATTGCTCCATTAGCCTTAAGTGTTAATTATGTTAAGGATCACATTAAGTATGATTGTCTTTCCTCTCATGTAAGTAAACAGTACTTCAGCCAGAGACCAAAAGTGCTTTTTCCAGGCTACAGAGAGATTCAGCGTATCTTGACCAACATTCACTTTTGAGGTAGTACTAATTTACTTTGTATTGCTGGCTCAAAAAAAAAAAAGAAAAAAGGAGAAAAAAAAAAAGAACGCATTTAAAGTATACTCATTGTAGGTATAGGAAAAAAAAGACAAAAAAAAGATAAAATTATATCCTTTCTGGGCAGATCACCAAAAAGAAGCAATCCTTCTTACAAAGGTCAGCTCACATTCACTGGTAAAGTCAAACTTTCATAAATGGTTTATAACAATAGCTATAAACTAAAGTGCTTCAAAATTTGCTTGACTGGATCATAATATTCTGGATTTTTGCTAGTGTGAAATGCCATGAGATTTTTAGAATCACTTTATATAAGAAGGGCAGAATGAACATTTTCTTTTTTCCAAAGAAAAAGTACAAAAAGCTTTCAGAATACACCTTGCAGTCTATAATCACTACAAGTTGTTTATATTTTCCTTCTCAAGTCTACTATTTCTCCCATAACTGGACTGAAAATGGAGTTGAAGTAGCACTATACTGCAGCACTAAAAATAACTGTTCCAATTAGATGCAAACAGGAAAATGTTTACAATCATACAACTAGTGAAATTCACACTTCATTTCAAACTTTTAGCCCTGCAGATTCTTTTCAACACAAGGCAGATATGTAGATCATGGAAAAATGTAACAGACTGCTATACACTCTCTACATTAACTACATCAGTTTCACATTTATGTCACAAATGTAATGCCCTACTGTTTATCTATCAAATGCTAAATAACTTATGAACACTTATGTGCTCTATGCAACAGTGAACATATTGACCAGTGGATGCCAAAATATAAAAGTTCATACACAGGACAAACTAATTTAAAAAAGAAAAATCACATTTTCTGTACAACTCATGCAAACTGTGCACAATGTGGTAACAAGAACAACATCTGCTGAAGTTTCCATTTAAGGAAGAGCTTTTAGACCAATAGCAGACTGGTATTCAGAGAAGTCTGCAGAAGTACAGCAGTCCACGGCAACATAAAATGCAAAAATTCTTCCAGCATTTCACTTTTCTTGTAACAAAGCAGGAATATTGATGTTCCAGCCAATAGCCTGACGATCAAATCCACAGGTGAAGAGGTTACATATTGGGTGATCTTCACTCCAGGCGGAGCAGCACACCATTCTTCTGTGGCCCTACAACAGATCAGGAGATGTCAGTATTACTTACAACGTTTTTGAAAGCTTCTGTGTCAACAAATTGGCAAGAGTCAAAATGGAAACTTGCTAATGCTCTACATTTTCATAAATAAATTTGCGAATCCTAAAGGTCATAGTTATTTTCATCTGCAAGGTAAAATCTTTCTGATAATGAGACTGCTTAATGCTGGCACTGGGTCCAAAAATACAGGAGCAAACAAACAGGAGTTCCAAAACTTGAGTTTTTCACAGTATGTCTGCTATCTAATTGGCATTTTATTTACAAAAGCAAACTGAATTTTGATTTTACCACTTTTGCTTATAAAAGCAACTTTAAAACTAGAAACAATTTGCTGGCAACAACTGTCTTATGAACCTGCAAGATGAACTGTTGATTTTTCTTTCTGTCGATCGTGTTTGTAACTCAGAAAGGCTAACAGTACAGTGGGAGGAATGTCCTACTGAGCAAAAATAATGCCCTATGCATTGTTCAATAGCAACAAGAATACCCCAAGGAGGATTCTGACAAGCGCTCAAGTAAAAACAAATAAATAAAAAAATCCTCCATTTCTGTTGTGTCAGCTTTAATGAATACTAAGGAAAAATAAAGAAAAACAAAAAACAAAAATCACAGTAACGAAGGTAAACAAGAGGTAAACACTTAACAGCTCTTCAAACCCTTTTGTACATTCTGTCAGCTGTATCTACATGCATCCATGATGTCCATAAAGCTTGAGCAATATAGGACAGTCAGATTCACACCAAGACATGAAAACACATTTAAAACGCTCAACCACTTTTTTTTTTTCTATTTCACAGAGAAGGCAGACATTACTACCATTTTCACAAGGGGAAAAACGCCATGAGACTCAGTTCAAACACCATTTCAAATGCCAATGAAAAAAATCTACAATACGTCACTTATTTGCATGCTGGTCATTTTCAGTTACAGTCTATATGTACAGATGAGTGTCTTTCAGCATTTCTTCAGCTTCTGCACTAAAGACATCAAACCCTATTTTTATCCTTGTATAAAGAGAAGAAGAGACATACTTTAAGGGTACATGAACTCCATTACCTGTCTATTACTGCGAGGGAGGCGTGCTAATCGCACTCCTGACATGTCAAATAACCTAACCTGTCGGTTGTCGTGGGGAAGGGCAATGATTCTTTGGCCAACACATACATTAATCCTGTGCAGAAGAGAAAAAAAGGCGGGTTATGCATACAACAGTGAGCCTGGCAAACAGAACTCGACAGTGCAAGTTTAAGATCTCAAGAAGTGATATAGCTCAATTCCTCCTGGATAGAATCCACGCCAAAAGTAAAGTGTATTAAATTGTTAAGATAGTTCATTGTGCCAGATATTCTAACAGGCTTAACTTCTGCATCCAATATAAACATCTCAGAAAAGCAATGCATTGTATTTATTGAAAATGAATGCTGACTAAAATCTCTAGTTTATTAAACCACTTCAGACCTTTTTCAAAATCTCATAAAGCTCACTATACAATTCTAATTGCAGTGACTAAAACTAAATTTCTCTTAATTAAGAAAATAATAATTTGAAGGTCTGCTTACCTATTTACTGCAGAATCTGTACGAATGGTAGCAATAGGAGACCTCATGTTTTTCAAATCCCAAACTTTTACAGTACGGTCATCACTACCAGAAACAACATTGTCTCCCACAGTGAAAACTGCAGATGTCACAGTGCTAAACAATTAAGAGTAAAAAAGAAAACTGTCAAGCCCTGAGGTTTGTTATTAAACTAGCAAGCAATTTAAAGTTTCTGTTCCTACGCTTCCATTAGAATGTACAGCTTGTTTTTCCCCTTCTCCTTCTGTGGAGAGTCAGTCTGGAGGCATTTCTCATATTCCATTTATCCTAATGGAACAGGAAACGCATAGCTCATTAAACCTTAATTCACTTTTGAAGTTCTGTATTAATGTGAACATCAGACACCTACAACTGAATCACTAGTACCCAATAAAAGACTTTCCCATGTGAGATTGTAACCAATGCTATTTTTAAATCCATCTAAACATGGTACTACACACAAGCACAGAGCTTCCAGAGTAACTCTGCTAGCAGCAGCTATCTCAATCTAATAATTTCAAATTCTGATTTTAATCCCTGTTTTACGAGTAGCTTAATTCTAAGTCAGGTAAGACACATGGCAAGTAGTAACATCAAGAAGCATGAGCAGCCAGTGCTTTAAACGTCACTCACTATGGCTACAAATGGGCAGCAGCCAGAGAATGACTATCAAGAACCTTTCTATCAAATAGAAACACAAACTACTCCTTCCAGGAACCATATTTTATGTACTTTTATGTATATGAAATTGTTAAATATTAATTCTATTCACATACACAAAGGATTTTATTACATTTGGATTTTATACTTTCCAAGAACAGCATACTGCTGAGCTCAACTGAAAAATTCTCATGACTTCTTTTTTACATCTTTTACCTATTATTTCATAGTAAGCAATTAACACTTCTGTAGTGTTTTCAGTTAAATACTATGCAGATTCTCAAATGAAAACCAATTATTTTCTGTGCTCAGAGCGCACTAGCAAAGCATTTTTGTCTGCGACTAAAATCATTAGGGAGGCTTCCCAACTCTGTTTCTACAGAACTGATTTAACGACCTATCTTGTAACTGGGGTCACGCATATCAATTTCTTAGAATTTAGTAATTTTAATTTAAGTTGTCAGTCGTTACTGTCACTTTGGTTGTTCTGCAGAAATTTGAATTCATGTCCTATCCAAACTGCTGATTGAAATTAGCATTAGCCAGGTCACAATGGACCAGTTTATGTGAGCCTCTTAATTTAAATTGACACCAAATTAAGTTTTAATTAGGATGAAGGTCCACTTTACTCATGACACCAAGCTTCCTAATGCATTATTAGAGTGCAGCTAAGCTATCAGAGAGATGCTTATAACAAGAATCAAGAGGTCTTCACCTAATCTTCTGGAATTCATGAACCAAAAGACAAAAAGCCAAAAGATACATGAAGGCCACAGCAGATGAATCTTTCAAGAGGCACTTTTGCATTTGGGAAGATAATTCATTCACACAATCAAATTAATGCAGACTAGAGTTTGAGTGTTCTTTGCACACAACTTGATTTCCGCTTGCCTAACCTACACAAATCTTACTAATTTTCTTCATTTATTTCCTCATCAGTTCTTCACATAAGCTGCAAAACACCTAAAAAAAAATGCTTCACACCTCCATATTGCTGCAGCACACTGAAATAAGGTTTAGAACTTTCACACTATTAAATCTGTACACTTTACACACACTGTGAGCCCTCCTTATACATGACAGTATGAGGAATTCAAGTCATGAAAAGGCTCCACGTGAGTGAATACACACACAGTATTTTAGTATTCTGCTACCAACACACAGATATGATCTGTTCTCCCATCATACATTTTATTCCAATTATAGCTGGAATACGTTCTGAAACTGCCTTAAAATAACCCTCCAATTTTGGATGCTTTTTTCCACAACTTTAAACAGTTTTCCAGCTTCTTTGATCTCATATTGGTTCTCCTTTATCGCTTATCACTGTCAAACATAGTTAAGTCTTTTTGACCACATAAAGTTCTCTTTCTTAGATTTATCATCTTTCAAATGAAAACAGTCAAAGCCATTGCCATGCAAACAGAATGTCAGTCCTAGATTAGCTCAATCCTTCCTGCTCCTGTCAAAAGAAAATGATTTTCAAAATAAAACAAAATCTTCGTCTGTACTACTTTCAGTTTAACTATTCATACAGATGCTACTGGGCGCATCAGGAGAAAGTCTGTAAAACAGAAGAGCTGTGAAGCTTCCCCTGTAGCACTCTGATGACTGGGTAAAGGATAGAAAGGCAAAAGAAAGTCCTGGAGCTGTTGGAGCAGGTCTAGAGGAGGGCCACAAAGACTATCAGAGGGCTGGAGCACCTCAACTCCTCTGTGAGGACAGGCTGAGAGAGCTGGGGCTCTTCAGCCTGGAGAAGAGAAGGCCTGGGGGACTCATAGCAGCCTTCCAGCACCTGAAGGGGGTCTACAGGAAAGCTGGGGAGGGACTTTTGGTAACGGCATGTAGTGACAGGACGTGGGGAAATGGTTTTAAACTGGAAGAGTTTAATATCTAGTCTGATTTAGACTAGATATTAGGAAGAAATTCTTTACTGTGAGGGTGGTGAGACACTGGAACAAGTTGCCCAGAGAGGTTGTGGATGTCCACTCCATGGAAGCATTCATGGTGAGGCTGGATTGGGCTTTGAGCAACCTGGTCTGGTGGGAGGTGTCCCTGTCTATAGCAGGGGGTTGGAACTAGGTGATCTTAATGGTCCCTTCCAAACCAAACCACTCTATGATTCTATGAAAAGGAAGACTGCCTTGCATTTTTCCACGACACCTTGACAAGTGTGTTTAGTAGTCTTCATCCACTGACTACCATCCCAAAATTCATCTCTGAAAGGCACTGCTGACTGGGATATGCACTGTTTGCAAGCACAAGTGACTACAGAAATAGCCTTTCTTGTTAAAAGCTCAGAAATCAAAGACTAGATGTAAAAGCCCTACTTACTGCAAAATAGCAACAAGAAAGCCTACTTCCTGAGTAGCAAGCAAAGGAAAGTCTGTGATGGGAAGAAATAAGTTGACAGAGCAGCCAATACACCAAAAACCTTTCGGTATTGCCTCCCTGACTCCACTCGCATCAAAGCATTAAAGACATCAATCTGCATTTTCACTTGGCCATTTTTACTTTCCATCATTAGTAATCTTCAGCTTGTTCTAACTAAACTTAAACCTGTGGTTAACATGTCCTTGGCTACATTAATAAAAAGTGTCAACAAAAGATCATCAACCCTTGTTAAGGGAATGCTAGAAGACATTAGGTTTTTAATAAATCAAACAGATGACAGGTATCGTAGGACAGTGGAAAAAAAAAGCCTGGCAAAAAAGAAGCAGTCTTATGACACTTCAAACCATGGGTCCCAGGAGGAGTTTGGTGTGCTACAACTATTCTCCAGAAAAGCTTCAGCCTCTGCCAAACCCCAGCAAAACTCATTTATCTTGTCGTAGGGAGCAGCCGAGCGTGTACTTCCAGCTGACAGCGCGGCACTTCCTCACCACACACCACTGCCCGGCCTCGAACATTCTGCTCCCTCCGTGGGTCTCAATCAACAGAAATACTGTAGTGCTAGCACTCCTCATTAGGCCGAACAGCTGTCTCCCCAGTCATACTGAGACACAAAACTGTTTTGCATAACAATCTGCTGAAGTTTCACACACAGGGAGAAAAAAAAGTGATGTTGAAAATGTTGGACCATGAAATGCTGATGCAGAACACTTACTGGCAATGCATCAAAAAAAAAAAAAAAAAAAACAACTGAACACTTCTGTTTCCATTTTGATTTGCAACCCATACTGGGATTTGCAGTTGAATACTTGGAGAAAACATGCTTTCCTGGCAGCAGAACTAGCAGGCACATGGACTAAGTTCGTGCGTACTAACAGGCATGAGGGACTAAATTCTGGAGGAAATGAACTAAGAGAGCTTTCAGATAAATATGTACACTAAATCATAGTTAAAAAACAACATTTAAGTGTTCAAATATGGGTCTTACATTGTAAGTGGTAACATTCAGGAACTAAACCTAAAGAAAGATGTATATTCTATTAGGGGAATAAAGCACATCCTTACACAAAGCAGCCCACAGCCTGAGGGGAAGCCAGGAACTGGGTTTAAAACCCACAGTTATGGACAATAGATGCCAGCCAAAAGGACTGCTGCCCTGGCCACGTAAATACCCTGTGAGGAACACACCAATACCTCCACATCTGAGTGCACAGTTAGGTTTTAGGAGTGCTAAAGGACCTCAATGCCCAGAAGACATAAGCATACAATTCCCTAAGTCTATTTCTGAGTTTATCTCCCAATATGAGCAGAGCTTTTTCCTCCAACTTGAGAAAGGCAAAGAACAAGCCATGAAAAAGTAACATAGAAAAGGTGGGAGTTCAGAGACTGTTGTTAGCACTGAAATGTCATTTTCTAGCAACTAAATCAACAACGCCTATTCCAGAGACATGTGCTTCATGATACCCAAGAGAAAACAACAAATATCTCCTTTTCTTTCTAGCTTTCTTAAAATAATAAAATGATGCAGTACTGAAAACCAATCAGTAGCTTTTATGAGAATTACTCAATGGCAAGTTAGCAAATTAGTTATGGTGCCTTTAAAATCAATTTCATTACCTTTAGGATGGAATAAAAAAGGTTCATTTATCCCTGCAGTATTGCTGCATACGTTATGTAAGCTTTAGAACAACAAAACACTATAAAGTGTTAGACTCCACTGAATAGGATACAAAGAAAAGGTCTTTGGCCACACTCTTATGTGGGTCAATTAAAAAATATATATACACACACACACACACACACACACAGAGCACTTTTTAGAGCATGCATTCATAAACAGAGTTTAGATTGGCTCTGGGCAGCCTTGTCTAGTGACCCTGGTGAACCTGCACATGGCAGGGGATTGAAAGTAGATGATCATCGTGCTCATTTTCAACCCAAGCCATTCTATGATTCTCCAGGATTTACTGCCCACATCTTTTTTTGAAGTGACTGCAATGCCTAACATGAAGGGCATTCAAAATTTGTACGTTACATATCCAATCCCCTAACATAAAACGTGTAATGGATTTTCTTATTTTAGCTTTTAACTTCAATTCCTTACTCTTCTAGCTTAAAGAGGGCATGCCACTGGTTATACAGCAGAGAACTGGCTAAGGTAAGATCAGTCACTTAAAACTTTTAAGTAGTATTTCCTGTAGGAAAACCTCCTTGCAACTGATTTTCACCACAATCCTATGCACATTTCTTTTATAGGGAGCAGCAATTAAAAGTCATTAGCTTTTCATTATTTTCTTAAAATAAAGATGAAAAAGTATTTCAAAAACAGAAGCAGTCTAATTTTCCTCATTAAAAAAGTTACAGAACCTAATAACAACTCCATAACCTCATATTTTAATGCCTTCCCCTCATAGTTTGACTATATATTATAAGTTGACTACTACTAATCATTGTGTAGTAATTCAAGTCATGTTGCCTTTATATGAACATGGCAGTGACAGCCTAATGAAACAATTTTTAGGAAACAGAACAAGGCAGTACCACTAAAGTAACAGAAGAATTATGTAGTTAGTCAGAAAGGTTTGGGAGAAAGCTGAGAAAAATTCTGCACTTCCTACAGAAGCTGAACTCATGGGGAATGATTAGGAGCAGTAGAAAAAATGGGAGGTAAAGTATCACTGACGGCAGGAACAGCTAAGGTAGGAACAGGAATATCTCCAGAGGAACCAATCTTTAAACTGGTTGAGCTCCACTGAGAGCAGCAAATTGGTGACATTTTGTTTGTCATAGGAAGCCTGTAAATACTTCCTTCTCACTGCACAGATTTTAGTCAAAGATGCAGAACTTGTATGTAAAACAGCATGCAGTTACACATTCATTTCACTAAGTAAGACACATCAGAGAGAATGAGAATTAAATCTTGAGGAACAAAGAATCAGGGAAAGCCTGCTGACCTTAGCAAACCTGAGTGCCCATGAAAATAAAAGAACTATTAGTATCTAAAGAAATCCATTTTGAAATTAATTCCAAATTCACTAAATATCAGAATTCAGCCCAGCATTCTAATGAAATCACTACTCAAATATTTTTACATCTTTTTAATTCAGATTTTCCAGCAATCGTAGGATTTACAAGATAAAAAGTTGAAGAGGCAAGACATATTTGCTCTTCACTAGCTTCACAGTTCTCACAATAAACAGGAAGGGGAACGGCTGTTTACAAGGGTTGATAGAGACAGGACAAGGGGCAGTGGTCTTAAGCTGACACTAGGGAGGTTTAGGTTAGATATTAGGAGGAAGTTTTTCATTCAGAGAGTGGTGACACACTGGAACTAGTTGCCCAAGGAGGCTGTGGATGCCCCATCCCTGGAGGCATTCAAGGCCAGGCTGGATGTGGCTCCTGGCAGCCTGGTCTGCTGGCTGGCGACCTGCACATAGCAGGGGGGGGGGAACTGGATGAGCACTGTGGTCCTTTTCAACCCAGGCCATTCTGTGGTTCTATGATCTAGCTGATGTACTGGAGCTTTCCATTCCCCTCCTAGAACCACAAAATCTTAATGAAGGAAGGAGGAATGCAGTAGTCAGGAAGTCCTACAAGCCACCACCCACTGCAGCGCAGCACTGGGGCTGGAACTAAATGATTTCTGAGGACCTTTCCAACCCAAGCCTAGGAAGTCCATTCAATTAACACGGAACAAGTGAGTGGATGGATGATGACATGAACATATGCTTTTCCAAGGGTTCTGATAGACATCTCGTAGATAGATAGGGATTAACAGTACTAGGAATAAAAGTTTGTTGTGGTGCACACACAAAATGCAGAGAAAAAGCATATTTAATTAAAAATTAGTATTATTTCCACACTAATTCATATTTTTAAACTTGTAGGAAATAACAAGTGAGGCAAACTGGAGGTGCATCAAACCTAAGATAAAATGTGACACAAGTTAGGAACTGAAACAGTCATATACAAGGAAAAGGTCAACAAAGTTTACAGATCTTCAAAAGACAACCTGAATGCCCTTTTGGGACTCAGCTGAATGCAGGCTTAAAGTACAGAAGTATTATTTAGGTACTGACTTGGCCTCTGGATTAGTAAATGCCAAAACATGTTGGAAAACATGCTTTGTTTATAAAAAACTAATAAATGAAACCGTTATCATCACCTAAATATCTATTAATACAGAATGCAAAACTCTTTCATATTAAAAAGGCAAGATAAAATCCAGTTACCAGAAATTGAAGCTAGTCCAACTAGGAAAGCACAAAAAGTTTAACAGGGAGATTAAACACTGGAATGAGCAACGTACAGGATTTACCAAGGCCTAAGTTAAAATCATTATCACTAGAAGAGCCTCATCTGCAATCGGACAAGTCCACTACAACTAATTCAAAACATCAAAAGGCATCAGTGTAAGAAGGCCAGCACAGGGGCGACAGTCACAACAGGATCCTTCTGCCTTTGCTGAAGAATGATTTTCTTGGACTATAGCAGAACTGTGACAGCAGTAAACTACAAGAAACAGCCCACTTTTAACAGTGAACAGTTATATGCTCAAATACCAAAATAACAGGTAATTCTTAGTCCATTTACTTCAAATACAAACAGTCCCTCATCATTGGCATACACACTTATTTTGAGAGCACATCACTGTATAGTACAAGGCAATGCACAGTAATTGTTTATCATTTTTTTTAGCCAATTAGCTTTATAAAATCATACTCAGCATGTAAGTCTCTTAGCCTCTCAACATCAGTATCATTGCATTATATCTCTAATAAATCATGTGCCATTTTGACTAAATCTTAAATCTGATTCATTACAGCTACTAAGGAAGGAATTTGAAATTACACTATCCACCTATGCCTTTAATAAGCAAACAGACACAAAGTATAAAATGGCAGTGAAAAAAAGCAAATCTCATCAGGTTTGAAACCTTGGTTTTCTGTCTAATTTCCAAAGCTAAAAATTGCTCTTGGAACCAGGAATCATGTGCCTGACGCAAAGTTTAAGGGACAAAAGTGGTAGGGTGGTCAGCTATCACCCAACTTCAGAGGCTGGAGCTCTGAGCCTCTTTTTGAGGGAAGTTTTTTGGAAGCTGTGAGCTGGAGCTATGGACACCCAGTCCGGCAGGCATGGCAGAGCTGTGGTGCCATCTGCTGACAGGTCTGCTGCCTCTGCTCACAGGCTGCACAGACACTGAAGTACTTAGTAAAAACTGTTTTTCCTCTTCAGATTCACATTTTAGTTCCAGTGCATTGAGAAGCACTCACGCCCAACACAAGCATTTTACAGCATCCAAGAGAGAAGCCAGCTGCAGTATCAAGTGCAGCACAAAGGAATGAAACTTCTGAACCACCGTGCATTGCTAGGATTTGATGATGGTTTGGATCTCAGATCAGTACAAAAAGGCAGGAACAATCTTAACTGTATGCGTGAAAAAAATCTGATTTTCAGAGAAAACTCCTAACTGTTCTCTTTGAAACGTTACATAGCACTACTTCATTTTCAAGCCAGCAGCCATAGCTTACGGTGTGATATTATTTATACATTATATCTAGATAAAATTTATAATTAAAGGTGATTTAAGGTATGAGGATAGTTAGTTGATTTGTGTGTGTGTGTGTGTGTGTGTGTGTGTGTGTGTGTGTTAGTTATGCTCGTAGATTAGGGGTAATACAGTTGATCAGACATTTTCTCTGCATGTCACAATACATGAAATAAATCACCACACTGCAGAACAGTTAAGGTCAGATGGGACCTCCGAGAGGTCACAGGGCAGCTTGGGTTGGAAGGAACCTTAAAGATCATCGAGTTCCAAACCCTGCTGTGGGCAGAGTCACCACCCACCAGCTCAGGCTGCCCAGGGCTGCATCCAGCCTGGCCTTAAACACCTCCAGGGATGGAGTAGCCTATTCCACTGCCTCACCACCCTCTGAATAAAGAATTTCTTCCTTGCACCTATCTAAATCTCCCCTCTTTCAGTTTAAAGCCATTCTCCCTTGTCCTATCATCTATCAGATGATGTAAATAGTCAGTCCCCCACCTGCTTGTAAGTTCTCTTCAAGTACTGAAAGGCCACAGCGAGGTCTCTTGTCCAAACTAAACAAGCCCAGTTCCTTCAACCTTGCTTCACAAGAGAGGAGCCCCTCTAGTCACCAGTACGGCCCTCCTCTGGACCCACTCCAACAGCTCTGTATCGCTCTGCATCTTTTTTACATTGGGAGCCCAGTATTCCAGATGCGGCCTCACAGGTGCAGAGCAGAGGGGAGCAACTACTTCTCTTGCCCTGCTGGCCACTCCTCTTGTGGTGCAGCTGAGGATACATTTGACTTTCTGTGCTGCAAGCATATGCTGCTACCTCACGTACAGCTTTTTGTCCACAGTTCATCTACTCTGTGAAAGCAGGTCTTACAACGTAGGAAAGTTAACTTAGTACCTCAAAAAGAGAATATGAACAGTTTTGTTCATATTAGCAACCAAGTACATTTATAACTTGTAAAAAATAAAAATATTAAAAAGAAATTGAAGAAACTGTCACTTACTCTGTGTGGCCCTGAAAGACATTCACAGAATGGATAGAAGGATCTCTGAAATCCCACAGGCGGAAGGTTGTATCACGTGAGGACGTCACCACAAGACGCTGGGTGGGATGGGTACAACAGTGTGTTAGCTCTTGGTCATGCCCTACAATCACAGATGAGAACATATAAGGTAGTGAAAACAAGACTTTTCATTTCCACACGTGCTTGGAATGGAATGCTGACAGCCTCTTTTAAACAATCAGTAAAAGTGTACTAATTATTTTAAACTCTGATGCTACTTGTTGATGCGAAGTTTAGAACTATACTTAAAACCAAAAAAGTGCTACTCATTTCACATGATGATTAAGAAACTGCTGCTACTTAATATGCCATAAAGACAACAGAAATACTTTGCAAGAATGAAAATTTGGCTATATTCAGTTTAAAACAACTGTTCTGTTGGCTCTGTCGCATGCCTGACAGAACACAAAGTCATGCTCTGTGAATTTACAAGGCTGGAATTTTAGAAACCACTGCAACACCAAGCAGCAACGTAAGTTGCTCACCATATTCACACCATACTTCAGAGATACAACTTTCACAGTAAGGGATCCTCATAAAAAACCACCAATTATACCTTTTTTGAGTGAAGAAATACCTGTAAGAGAATGGACTAATTCAGAAGTCTCTACATCATACAGGTTTGCTGTCCTATCCCACGAAGCTGTCACTGCTTGCTTCCCCCCAACAAGCCAATCAGCTGCTATGACCACTCCTTGATGACTTTTGAGTGAAGTTAACGGAGCTCTAACAGTGGGACAATCGCTAGAACCATCTCCATCTCCATCTGGTTCATCTTTATCTGAGAACTCAAATTCATCTTCTCCAGACACTTGCTATAAAATTCAAGAGGAAAAAAGAATGAAAACAAATGGAAAAAAAAGCCTCTAAGTTACATTTTACAGTGTAAATGCTTCCAACTCCATGTAACATGAATGTGGGTAGTGAATTCTGCAGAACCTCGTCTATTTAAGTGCCTACTTCAAAATCATAGCTGAAGGGAAAAGACAGTTGAATTAAATGAATTTTTAATAACTTCTTCGTTTTAAAATCTCTATTGAACTGTTTAAATATCTGTCCAACATATAGTCTGGCAAGCCTCTTCTGTAATTCCTCTCCCTATATTACCCATGAGTTTCATTCCCATGCATATATTATCAAGAGACTTTTCCCTTTAAATTTTTAAAGGCACCGGTCTTAATCTTTGGGAAGACAACCATTTAGAGTCGTGTTTTTATCTGTTAGAATCAATATCTTGACATTGCCTTTTGGTCTTTAAATAACGTATCCTGTATGTAAACTGGATACGAAAGAAAAGCATTGATTTTTGAACCCCACATTACTCACACAAGACAAACGCACTCCTCTTTCACTATTTTTGGATGGGAAAAGGTAACATTTGCACTGCTCTTTCAAAATAAAAATTCCAAATCAACTCATCTGAATCAAGCATTTGCCATGCAGAAATCTACCCACGCATTTCATACCACATGGCCACCTCTTGCCCCTACTTCATTTACTGAGAAGCTCATGCTACAAACTACATCTGTCTTCACAATTTAGTAAGGCTGATTTGAAGCTGCATACAGCATTTGCCAGCCAGAAAATGTTGTCCACAGGCTTTTTTTTTTTTTTTCTTCCAGTCAGCAATATCCAGACAGTGTGATTAATGCTGGCAAAGGTCAATTAGAAATCATATTAAATATACGGTTCAGAAAATGCCAAAGATACACACTTTATCATCAACTTTGAATTCATAGCAACTATAGTTTATTCAAATACCTCAGTGAGGTATGTGACAAAAACTTAAGAAGTTCAGAAATAATTTTATTATTATGATTTTAATTAATTGTTATGAAAAACTGCACTTGCCACTTCATTTACTTATACCTTATATGCTTATTACCCTAATTGACTTTTTTTCAAGGTACTTGGGCATTGTAGTTTCTTCAGAAACATGAAAGGAATTACTTTTTTTTTTAAAGATACAGAAATGTACATATTCAAATAAAACCTTAAACTCCCACCTTCTGCAATCCTGAAATCACGTAATTTTTAATTATGTATAAATGTAATGCTCAGTACTACCATAACACCCACATCCAATGAAATTGCTGTGCAATTAGTTTAGTTGCAGCAAGTTGATTGCTTACATTGCAGTCTGCAGTTGGCTGAGGTGTAGGCAACTGTACTATGTATCTCCAGATGTGAGCTGTCTGGTCTCCAGATGCTGCAACGGGAAAAGAAAGCAAAAAAAGAAATGGAGGGGGAGAGAGAAAGGGAGCACTGATTAAATTAGAGTATTTCCATGAACAATCAAAACAAGCTTTCATGTTACATATTTGGCAATACTGTTTGCATGGCATCTTTTTAACAGACACTGTTACAACCTTTTTGGTAAGCAAGTCTCAACATTAATGAAATGGTTACTTCCCTGACTTCAACACAGATGAGAAAAAAACTCATGTAAAAATTTAATTAGCTACCAAATCGATCATTGCTGCAGTGACAATATCCACTTAAATCATACAAATCATAACACTAATTTCACTGCTTTTCTAATAAATTGGATTTGAAGAAAGTATTTTATACATCAAGTACCATCTTTCATATGCTATTTCCCAAATATGCTGAAGTTCCTCTTCATTCAATGATTTTATCTACTAAATGTTTCTAGCCCATTTTTTATGAGAAAGCCAAAACAGCAGGAGTGAAACTATTCAGCCTTTACATTAAGCAACTCAGCTTAACTGGTACCAGTTCACAGCTCAGTAGTTGATTTCAGGATCTACTGTTTTTGAAAGAGATTTATCCATTAGAGATTTTGGAAAGGGTCCAGAGGAGGGCGACTAAGATGATCAGGGGGCTGGAGCACCTCCCCTATGAGGACAGGCTGAGGGAGTTGGGCTTGTTCAGCCTGGAGAAGAGAAGGCTGTGGGGTGACCTCATTGCAGCCTATCAATACCTGAAGGGAACCTACACCCAGGAGGGGAGTAAACTCTTCAAAAGGGCTGATAACAGCAGGACTAGGGGAAATGGATCCAAGTTGAAGGAGGGAAGATTTAGGTTGGATGTTAGGGGGAAGTTCTTTACAAGGAGAGTGGTTAGGCCCTGGAACAGGCTGCCCAGGGAGGTTGTGGATGCCCCGTCCTTGGACGTGTTCAAGGCCAGGTTGGACGGGGTCCTGGGCAACCTGATCTAAATGTGTATGTTTGGTGGCCCTGCCAGGCAGGGGGGTTGGAACTACATGATCCTTGAGATCCCTTCCAACCCGGGTGATTCTGTGATTACTAACCAAGATTTTCTTTGCTATGGACAAAACAAACATGTTTCTAATACTCAGGAGCAGCACTGAGAGTCCTTCATTGAGGTGAAAAGCAGTTTGTTATGCATGTGCACAGGCTTGGCACATAAACCATAAAAACTGCGTTTAAAAAATTTCTTGTAAAAGACCAAGAAGGGTAGAAGACAGCTCATTAACTCTGAATGATTTCTGGGACAGCAAGTCAGCTTACATAATATTGTTTATGGTACTCCAACACTGACTACAGGTAGCATATGTAAACAGGAAAATCTAAGCAGTCACACCTCTTTAATCCTAAGCGTGCTGCAGCATTTGCTGGGCTGCACAGTCCACAGCATTAAACACATGAGATCACCTGCAAACTCAAATTTGTACTGAATGTTGACTCTCTGTCCTGAAAACATCCTTACACTACCATTTGTGTTTTCATTTTTTCTTGTGCATATTCAGTAACATTCTTTTACTTTACTTCCAGAAACATTAAGTAATTCAAAAGTATTAAGATGTACGGTTCCAAGTGACCAAGCACAAATGTCAGTATGGCACGATAAACATAGATAGAATGATGTAGGTCTGATTTCTTATTCCTTAAAAAGTAACGATAATTTAATCAACAGTGGTACTGACAAAGTAGAAGAGAGAGGCCCCTACAACACCAAAAAGACAGTAGGAAATGACACACTTATTTTTCCAAAATGATTAAATAGACACTAAATGAAAAACCCATACCTGTAAGAGCCACTTGCTCAGTTGGATGAAACTTTATTGAGTTTACTGCAAAAAACAAAGCAGAGCTTTAAGCTAGTGTACTAAAAGAATTACTTCACAATGTTTTATCATTACAAGCATTGAAACATCAAGAAGTCTTCAGTTTTAATTGACTTTTTGTAGGATTGCAACCCCTTAGTTAAGAGAAACCAAAATATTGGAGCACATAAGCCTATGCAGTATCAACAAAGCAGTCATAGAATGACTTGGGTTGGAAAGGTCCTTTGAGATTTAGTTTCAGAAAGTCAATCACAGATACCACAATATACATTTTCTAGCAAATTATTTCCTGAACATACTACAAGTGTTTCATGTTAAAGAGGACAAACAAACTACATTCAAGCAATTGTGTGCAAGCTGATTGGAAATAATGCTCTAGATTTCCATAAGGTGAATTTAATTGTTCGTAACTATTCCTAACCTAATCATTAAACTTCCTCATTGTTGCTAAAGACTGCAAGAACAAATGCCTAAAGATCCAATGCAAATAACAAATTAGATTTCAGTCCTGCAACTACATGTAATTGAAGCACGATTGTTTTAAAATACAGCCCTGCAAGAATTCTGTCAGCCAACAAAGCTGCTCCTTATTTTTTATTTCAATGAATAAGATTTAATTACATTACTACGCATTTTTAATTGCTAAACCCATAAGCTTCACTTCAACAGTTGGAGAAAGAACTTAAAAATCATTTGTGTTCATCATTTAAGTAAAATATGCCTATGCTCTCAGGAGAATGCTGGAATTTGCTTAGTATTGAGTTGAAAAAGATACTCATTGTTCACACTAAATCACCTCAATAGCGTAATAACTGCTGACATCCAACATTTCAAATCAACTGTCACACATAAGCAAGTGAACAAAGTTCTACTAAATGGAAGCTACATAAACTAGAATGTAACACTGTTCTTTTTTCCTTTGGTTTGAACAGTTTACACACATCTATTTAAACATAGTTTAGAGCCTTTCGTTGATTTCATCATTATCCAAGTAGCAATTGATAAAAAAAGAAAAAAAAAAATCAAGAAAAAAAAACCCACCAGTGGTTGGAGTTTTTAAACCACACAGGTGGTGTTCCCTAGGGCTCAATTTCAGGAGCAGTTCTCTTCAATGTTTTTAATCAATCACCTCGACACAGCAGTTGAGTGCACACTAAGTAAGTTTATGTATGATAATCAAGAGAAGCCACTGATTCCCTTGAGGGTTGAGAGGTCTTACAGAGATGTCTTATTAGATGGGAAACCATCAATCATATGAAAAATTTAACAAGAACAAATGCCAGATTCTGCACCTAGACCAATGCAATCCTGGAAGTATATATAAACTAGGGGACAGCTGGCTCGGCTTTGGATCAGAATGAGCCAACAATGTGCCCTGTCAGCCAGAAGAGCCAACTGTATCCCAGAATGAACAGAATAGCTAACTGGTCAGAAGTAATTGTCCTTCTATATTCAGCACTGACGTGGCCTCACCTCAAGTATTGCATGCAGTTTCAGGCTTCACAATACAAGAATATAAAAATAATAGAAATGCCCTTCTCTGGATGGTGAAAGGACTTGAGGATATGACTTATGAGAAGCTGAGGTACTTGTTTGTTCATCCTGGAAGAGAACAAGGGGTGACCTCATTGCTGTCTATAATTCCCTCACGGGGCATGAGTGGAGTGGGAAGTGCCTATTATCTCTCTGCAGAGAGGCTACAGGATGAAAAGGAATTGCTTAAAGCTGTGTCAGGGAAAGCTCAGATTGGGAACTGGGAAATAAACTTTTTCACCAAGAGCACCAAGAGTCAAACGCTGGACCAGGCTCATCGAAGAAGTGGTGACAGACCCAAGTCTGTTGGTATTCAAGAAGCATTTAGACAACACTCTTAAGTGCATGGTTTAACTCTTCTTGTAATTGTGTCCATAAATTTCTGAATATGTTTTTGTTTATTCATTCAGAATTTACAGAACTATCTTAATACTCCTCTCTAAAAAAAAAAAAAAAAAAAAAAAAAAAAGAATCACATTAGAAGATATTCCCTGTAAGAAGACTGATGGAATTTTACAATTAATTTGCTAATGGTATTGGCAAACCACGAAGTCAAACCACAGTAAACTTTTTTGCAGGTGTACAAAACCCCCTCCCAAAACCACTGTTTCCAGTTTTCACAACATGCTCCCATCTTACCTGATCCAACATGCCCTACATACTTGACAAGGCACTTCCCTGTTTCTATGCTCCACAGCAAAGCAGTATGATCTATAAAGATTGAAAAGTAGCAGTAAATATTTGTTACAAACATAGTTTTCACTTCTGATTCAACAAGCAAGTTAACTTGTACTGTAAGGCACACCAAAGAAAATAAACTTCAAATCCAGAAAAGGCCTCTTGATCATTATCTTACACATATATTTGAAAAACGTTCCTATCATTACAACGTAACACATCTCTCAAAAGAAGTAAATGGAGCTACCCCAGTCAGAATGATTTTGCATAAGTACAGAAAGGCAAATTCTATTTGTGGTATTTTTCCTAACTTGAGTATATACTTATGCATAATGTTGAATTGTCTGAATGAGACTAAGAAACACAAAGAGTTCAGCGATGAAAATCCCAATGAGTCACTAGGAACAAAAGTTCTATGCACAAAGTATTTACTTTATGCCTAGAAGTCTCAAATGCCTGAGTCTGCCAAACACTACAAAAACTTACTTAAAAAGGACTCCAAATGTCACTACTTTACCCACCCACAACCTCAAGTGAGTTATTAACACAAGTATTTTTTAACCGAGGAAAATTTTAATCCTGAATTGGAGAACGGCTGTTTCCAAGTTCAATCAGTACAAAGACAAAATGTGCCTCTCAGTGGGCATATAAAAATGGTTACAGTTCAGTTTATGGAGCAAAAAAAGGTTTCTGGTCCATAGTATTTGTATATGGTATGTGTCTTCAATTTCTATTTCCTCTTCAAAAGACTGACAACTCAAACTGACCAACTCTAACTGATTATTATTTATTTCCTAAAATTGTTGCAAACACACAAGCCTCTAGACTCATTTTTTGGATCATCACAGGTACTACTGAATAAGTCAGTAAATGTTTCTTCTCTTCAGTAGAGAGTGAGAAATCTAGTTAGATGCTTAACAACTGACAAAATAAGGTTTTTAGCTGCCTCTAGATCCTTAAGCAACAGCCCAAAGAACTTGAGTACACAAGAATATGCAAGCTATGATCCCATGTCAGCTGTTCTTATAATGCTAAGTAACACTGCTAGAGAATCTTACAGGGATCTCTGAATACAGGAGTACAGCACTGTGTGCAAGACACCTCTTCAAGCAAGCAGCTCCAAGAACCTTCCATTTACACCATCCAACAAGCTAGAGCTGGCCCTAAGGGAAGAGTGACCTGCACCAAAGCTAACTGACATATACTTAAGAACAGCGAGGATGTTTGAATTTTCTACAGGATAAATGCATTTCAAGGAAAGTCCAATTTATTTCTGAGCTACTGAACTCCTTTAAATCAACTCTTTCACAGTACAGTTCAGTGGTGGTATGAAGAATTCAGGTATGCTCTTGATGTACACTTGCTTTTATTCAGAGTTTAAACCAGAATTTTCCAAATGTGCAAGCAACACAAAAGCTTACCAGCAGATGCAGTTCCCAAAACCACTGGCTGAGTTTTCGCAACACTGACATCCCAAATGCCATCCCTGTGGCCAATATACTCCTTTACCAGTTGACAGATTGCTCTTGATGTTGTAGTTTTAAAACTGGATACAATCTGAAAGAGCAGAAAGATCAAGTTTTTCCCACACAGACACAAGATTAAGTAATTACTTCACAAACACAAATAGATACTAAGTTGCTCATACTCATTTTCTTACCGTTCACTATTGCTAAGAATTTGTCATTTGATGATAGAAAAGCGAGTTGCAATGCAAACATACTTGATTTCTTACAGTGTGCACCTGTTTACATAAGGCTAAACTACTCTGTACTGCAGTAATATAACCTCACTGGAGTAATCAGTTGTACAAATGCAGTGTGAACTTCCCATCAGGTATAGGTAAGGATTATTAAAGAAAAAAAAGTCTATTCCCAAACAACTTCGTCAGACAACTTAGAGACAGTCTGTGAAGTCGAGTGTATTGTCTTTGATAATACACACTATTCCAGTAAAGTACAGAAACATTCCATTTCACAAACTCAACACCATTTTTTTTCAGAACTGCAAAAAGCTAACCACATCAAACACTAACCTGAGAGCACGTGCCAGGTTCTGTGTAATAACACATTTTCAAGGTTCATCAAACATTTGGATAAATCCAACAATTACATTCCCTCAATGTTAAGGGAAAATCGAGAAGATTCAAATTAGCGTGTGCATAAATCGTACTAAATTAAAGGAAGAAAAAATGTAGCAAAAATGGGAGAACTACAAGATACTGTAATAAAGGAAAACTGAAACCTCCAGACAATAAAGGTATCACATTTGCAGAAATTTTCAGGTAACAGAGGACTGTAATACTTCTAAAATAAACAAACTTTCTTGCTTTCTTGTAACATTTCCACAGACAACCAAAAACAAGACTGCTAAAAGATTACTAAAAAAAAAAAAAAAACCTAAAGTTATAAATATCCTATTATTACCCCACAAATATTTATCCCACAAATTCATAAATGTGCTTTGCAAAAGACTTTCTGAAAAGCTTTGTTAAAACAAAAACAAACAAAGCAATTCTTCAGAGCTTTGCTCAGCATGCAATTATGGGAAAGTATCTATCTACATGACCTGTTGACTCAAAACCTTTGAATACTTCAACACAAACCACATCTTCAACTTCATAAAGATTAGGAAACTAATCATATACATTCCAAATACAGTAAAAGGTAAAATACAAAAAACATAAAAGGTTAAAATCCTATTCGTTTGTGGTAACAAAAAGGGTCTGAGGAATGTCATTAAAGCTAATTAAGGTTTTTACAAGTTAAAGGACATCTTTAAGTCTTAAAACTAAGATATTCCAGATCCTGAGCATGACAGCTTTCCAGTGGTAAAATGACAATGCCCTGTTGGAATTTCAAATTAACTGTTAGCGCGCATTCCTATTTTATATCAACAGAAGCAACAACCATTAAGGCTGCACTGAAAGGAAAACAGGTTAATGGCAAAAATTAATAGTTCACACCACAGTTTCATAGGTTTTTACTACAACCATATGGATGAGACTTTAACACTGAACGTGGTCCTTGAACTAAACTGAGTAACAGATGAGAAATGGAACAGTAGAATTAAGTAAACATTTAGGGACTAACACAGTGCTCCTCTCAGATTTCAAAATAAGTTTCTCAACTCTCAATCCTGCATTCAAACTACACTTGTACACTGCTATTCTAATTTTGAGTCAAATCCTCATGCAAAAGTTCCTGGGGAAAACCCCCTCTCTTACTAATGAACAAGTACAAACGTTTCCAAAACCGCTGCACAGTTCAATCATTACTTACTGGCAAGGCCATAATACTCCTTTTTAGTATAAGCCATTTTCTACAAACAGAAGGAGTCAGAATTTCAAGGACATACATACTTATAGACAGCTATAGATACTGATTTAATTGATAATTTCTCTACACATCAGATCTCTGGGGTTTTTTTGTTTGTTTGTTTTTTAATTCCTACTAGCTGTTCCTCACTTTGTACACCAGTTATTGGCTCAGGTGGTGTCAAGGTCATTTCTTGGTTCTTTACGCATTCATAAACATTTTTCCAAGAAAGCAAATGTTTAAATGCCATGCAACTTTCTACAGACCTGAGGAAAGTTTTTACATTTCAGCAGATCTCACAGTTTCGTATGCAGATAACCAGGTAATATCTGACTGTGTTTCAGCTTTGCCCTATTTGTTAAATCCATATAACTTCACCTACTGCCTTCTATACAGAGAACTTAATCCTCTGCGAGTAAACTCAGTCAATTCATTTTCATTTCCCTCATCAAAATGCTAATTCTCTTTAAAGAGCTACTGCTCGTGCATATGCACGCAAACGTCCTCCCCCCTCCACCATCCATTTTTTTTAAATAAGTAGTTACTATAAAAAAAGGTAATGGTGTGATAGAAGTAATGAGAAATTGATGCATCCAAGATAAAGATACTGTTCTTCCCAAGGCAGATCTACATAAAAAACAGCACTACTTAGTTTAAAGAAACTATAATTTACCACTTAAGACAGCCATATTAGTCTTGTGAGTACACACTAATGAGTAGAGATTTAATTTGTCTCATACCTTGCTAGTAGATGCCTTGTAAGTTGTCTTTAATTTCTGAGAAAGTTGACTGGTACTATGGCTGGCTGTTGAGACAAATAAATACAAAGGAAGATATTTCAAACAATATTAGCTTATTTTTATAAGTAACTCGTCAATAGATGCCAAGTTTGGACCAGCCAAGTACAAAAAATTACATTCAAAAATATGATTTAAGATTCTTTGTGGTTCTCTGACCTTTTGTTTTCAGTTGTCCTTTGCTCAGTTCAGCTCCATCGATTGTCTGTCCTTCGGCTGCTAAACGCTCATTAAGAGTATCAATCTCTCTACGTACTGACAACAAAAAATTCAAATTAATACAAAAATAGGAGTACCATTAACAAAATCATTAACATTGTAAATAAAAAGTGTTACAAGAAACGTGTCTTGCACTGAGGACAGGACAAGAGATGAACTTACAGAAGCAGTTCTCACAATGACATAAACAAAATCTTCCAGAGATCTACCTTGACCCAGATTCCAAGGAAAGCACTGTTGGCTTCTGATTAGATATTTTTACTATTAAATGTGACTAAATATTAACAAAGCAATTTCTGTAAAATATATGGTCCACCTACACCGACTCAAATCCAACAGAAAGCAGAAAACTTACTAATTGTGCAGCTAGTACATTTATGGCAATGTATATTGCTTCTTGACAAAGACTTTAGTAACTATCTAATAGTATTCTTCCCTGACCTCTTGTTTACAGTTAGAGATTCCACAAGAAAGGACCCCAAAGATACATTTTATTCTTTGAGATTCATTAAAAATCAGAAGAATAATGTATATATTTTACATTCAAGTGTTTTAGAAACATTAAGTACCATCGGATTATTTTTTGCACAAAACACAAGGTATTCATTTGAAACAAGAACGTGCTTTTCTCTCAATTACTTATAACCCTTGCCAGTGTCATTTGAGCAACAGAGCAATGGTACAGCAAGATCAGGTACTCTTAAGAGATTTCCAGATGCTTAGCTGGTTTAAATGGTCTGATTTCACTTCACAAAGAACATTCCCAGTGGCTCATAGTTATTCCCTAAAATCTGGGCTGATAACTTTAAACATCTTCCTCAGGTCAAATTTCATTCAAAGTCTTTAGCCAGGCAGTTTTCAGCTTGTTCTGAAGAAGGAGGCTAGGTCTGCCTTTTCCACAAATTCTTACAACTTCCTCAAAAAGGTCGTTTGTTCCCAGACACAAGTTCTGATCTGGGAGAACGCGATCCATTAGGATCGTGGTTTTTCCTAATTTCTGAGAAATGCACAACAGAAGTCTCAGTCATAAGCACTATAAAAAGCCAGATTACACTTGCATACCACCTCCAGTTTGCTGGAAATGAGCAAAGCAGGATTTTCTTTCCTGTGTTCCTAGTAACAAACATCTAAACTTACTAAACACAACACGAAACAAAGACAAGCTTGTAGTAACAGATGACTAAAACAAATAAGTCATTAAACAAATAAAACAAATAAGTAAAATAAACAGCTGAAAGAATTAAGGATTAATTAAGGAATTAGAAGAGACTAGAACTTAGTTGTAATAGGGGAAAGAGAATACATGAATAGCCAGGAAGGAAAACATGAGATTCTCTACTGAATGTAACTGCAACACCAATGAAGGAGTTAGACCAAGAGCCAAAATAACTGTGAGCAACTTGGAAGTCATCCTGGGAGCTGAGAGATCACAAATGCCAGGAGTGAAAAACAACACTGTGGTGAAGGAGAAAGATGCAGAAGTAAAAGAAATGGGATTGATGGAAAATTACACTCTGAGGGTTACAGGCAAATTCACTGTTTGCTTTTCTGATGAGCTTTTGAAGCTTCATGAATGTTCTGTGTGGGGGAAAAAAAAAAATCCAAGAACAAACTTTTCTCACTTTCAGCCAACTTAGCAGGAGACTGAAAGTCAGGTGCACAAACTTCCACTAATGTAAAAAATGGTGTAGTGTTGAAAGCATTTAACCAACACAATCTCAGCTTTTTAATAGAATAAAAAAGCAGCACATTTCCAACAACAAAGCAAGAATGTTACTGTAACTTGAGTGTTTGGTTTAACAGTGAGAATAGCTAAAGTGTGGAAAAAAGTTTGACGTGGAGCCAATGTAGACAGGTTTGACAATGCAGAAGCCAAGCTTCCAAAACCTAACAAGGAAAATTTAGCAGGGACTTTGCTATATAGCTGCTTGTGTTACTCTAGATTGTACATCGCTTTAGATCACTTCAATATGTTACATTACATGTCATATTTTTTTTGCAGATAACACTTGGAGTGTTTTTACTGAGTGTTTTAACTGAGTGCTCAACTTCAAAACTCATGAGCAGCTGCAGGTGCTGGCTACACAATGCACTAACAAGCACTTTCAATACAAGTTCAAAACAACTTTTAAACGCCTCACAGAAAAACTCAACTGATTACATTACAGCACTCAGTGCAATCTTTTCAAGTACTATATCCTAGATTCAATGAGTTCTGAAGTTGCTGGAAAAACTATATACTCACATTCCAAATTTTCAATATACAAATTTTCAAACTCCCGCTCTATTTGTCCAAAAAGTTCGAGGAGCGTGTTCCGAACAGAAGATGGTAGTTTAGAATCCTAGGAGGCAAAACACTGGGTTTTACATTTAGTTACATATACATACACTAAGTTAAATATGTAACATATTTAACACATATACATATAATTAAACTTAGCATTAAATTGAAGATGTATATACATGCACCCCCAACTGCGTTTCAACCTTAAGCCCACTTTAGAAGTTTTCTACCTCCTGACAAAAAGAAAACTTAAACCTTCTTCTGCAGTGTAACATAAAATAAAAAGACTGGGGGACCTTTCTGTACAATATAAGGTAACTCATGTTACTTTCCTTTTTTTTTTCCATGTACTCTTTTCAAAGGACAAAACTCAAGCGCACAGATTTTTTTATTTGTTTTATTTTTTACTACTGAACAATATGCAAGTAAATTCTACTAAAAGTATTCTTTTCTTCAGTTGCTGATACACTGCAACATGCAGCTGGCTTATGCAGTTATTACTTATCTAGTTAGCCAAATGTTTCAAGAAGAGTTTCTGCTTAGTGAGCCTTATCCTAACAGTAAAAAGGCCCAACTACTCCTTTCTCTGAAGGCATTCCAGGCCAGGCTGGATGTGGCTCTGGGCAGCCTGGTCTGGTGGTTGGTGACCCTGCACACAGCAGGGGGGTTGAAACTAGATGATCACTGTGGTCCTTTTCAACCCAGGCTATTCTATGACATTCTAGAACATATTCAATGACCCTTTAAGCATAACTGTCATCTCAGCATTCACCTATCAAATACATTGGGTGTGTGCACTTAGCAACATAAAAAAAAAAATCGTGAAAAAGAAAAAAGTTTTTAATTTCAAAGCCTTGACATCATCAGCTATAAAAAAAAAGAAAAGAAAAATCAGTCTGCTTCTGCCACAATGCAAATCACCACTATTAGAGGCCTTAAATTACAGAAAAACCATTACAGAACATAACATTAATACGGGACATCACCCAAATTACAGTGAACATCATTTCAAAGGAAGTTTAACGATGATTATGGTTTGTTTTGTTCTTCAGTGTTCCAGCAAAGCCAAACCAAAAAGAAATTGCTTCTGTTCTCATAAACTGAAACACGAACAAATGCGCATGGTAGCCATTAGAGGGCAGCAAGCATCTTTGATCAAGTCAGCACTTAAGCAACCACAATTTAACATAATACTGTAGTTCTTACGTTCAGGATGACTATCTCCAAAAAGCCAGATAGGTTATTTATGGACATGGAATTTAAGGACAAGAGCAAGAGATATCACTAATAGATGTGCACAGAGCACACCTGCTTTGAGCATGATTCAGTCTTTTTGATACTTTCAGCTTGCTACTTTCAACTCACAGAAACAGGCACAGTGCTGAAAGGAGCAATTTGTGCTCCTCACAAATTAAGCACTGTTAAGAGAAACACTGAAGACTGAACAAATACTTCAGATTCAACTACCCACGAATTCCAGATTATAAAAGAAATTCAGTTATCCTACTAAAACTTCAGAATATAGGGAAGGTTTTTAACTTCCTTCTCAGAGCCTGGAAGCATTAGCAAATCTAAACCAACATGGTTGGTTAAAGTAACCAACTTGGTAAAAAAAAAAAAAAAAAAAAAAACCACACACACACTACCCAGATCTCATGTTGTTTATAGCTCCATTGTGATTAATATTCATTAATTTTCACTAATATTAATTGTGGCATTAATATTCTCTACAAGTTAGAATTGGCCAGTGGGCTGTTCAAGGTTAAATCAACAAATTAAGAAAGCTAACCGATAAAGCATTTAAAAATTTTACATATCATAGTGTAATACATTTGTAGAGTTTGATAAGAAATACCAAAATAAGTTAATATTTTTGTTTTCTACACAGATATGGTAGCAAGGGTTGATCTCTCAGCTGTCCTTTGTTCCTGAAGGAAGGCTGCAACTATTTTCAGTTACAGGACATGAGCAGTCTGCTGTGCAGGAAAGTATTTAGATACAACTTTCGGATGACAAAACTAATATTGTAGTTAATTGAATAACAGATTCAGTAGGAAAGCCTGTCACACCAGTGAAATACAAGCTGTTCTTTTTGGAGTACCAGCAGACAGCTCAGAAGAGAAAGTGAGGTTTCGCACAGCAAAACAGTATTTCAAAATAACTCTCTGATACAAATCAAGTCTTACATCATCTTTGCCAGGCCCACATTAACACTGCATATTCAGTTTGATACTAAGTAGTCTCCTGGCTGTTACTTGCTTATGTTAGCCAGCACTGCTTGAAACACTTCCGGTAGGAGTCTTCGCTACAGTTAATTTCAATACTGTAAGGTGAAGCATTAGGCTCCTGACTACATTTACTACTGAGGCTGACATGATTATAAACGTTATGGAAGTTTATGATTGCTGTTCACTTAAATTTACGTGCACAGAAAAACCGCATCTGCAACTGAAACGAGTTCAAAAACAAAACAAAAAACCTCACTGAAAAATGTAAGTTAGCTCACACCTGTCAAGCAGGCAGAAATACAGCCAAGTAGAGAGTATTTCACTCTACAGGAAGGAAAGCCAGACTGCATACCCACCAATACCTTGCCTTTCAAAGTTGTAATCACAAATATTTCAGTTTATTCATAGTCCTGAGTAACTACTATTCCAAATTCAAACTTGTGAAATCATGAATCAGTCTTCGACTTCGAGATGTGGGGAGATGCAGGGGGAGGCACAGCATGCTGAACAGGGTGTTTCTTTGTTAAAGGTTTTACCACTCATGTAAGAATATGTAAAAGCTAATAAAAGGTTTCATGAGCCTGGAACGGCATCGATCGTCCTTCAAAGATGGTCAACATTGAAAGCAAACAAGTCTGTTGTTTCTCTGGCTTTACTACATGTATTTCATCACTTATTTTTGTTTTTTTTTTCCACATAGAATAAACTGTTAAAAAATAAATAAATAAATAAAATAAAACCCACCCCCACTAAGGAAGTCACCTAAGCAGAGGTGTATTACTTTACCTGCCCTTCCAACATGTCTCTCTGCAGTCCTGCCCGCTCTTGCTCAGAACTGTTGGTTCTTCGGATTGAAAGACTGTGTGATTTGCGTTTCTGCTTTGCTTGGCGAGCAGATGCACAGCTTCCACTTTCTATTGGCATTACTTCAAAAAAACAGCTTCCCAGAGGCTCCTACAATAAACTAAGGACAAGCATTAAACGTCACCAATTGCTCTGCCAAAGCAACTAAAGTTTAACATTCTTCCTCCAAACAAAAATATTAGGTACACTACATTTGGAGTTGTTTGGGGTGTCATTAAGCAGAGAGCTCCTTGTTACTTAGAGCTATTTGGCAAACAACATCAAACTCAGAAACATGTAAGTTACTATACAAATAAAGAACAGGATCGTTTTCTGCACTGCTTTTGATTTAGCTAACAAACCACCACAAAAGGAAAAGAGATTTCATCGCCTTCCTGACTTTGGTGAGTACCAGCAGCAATAGCCCCAAAACGCTTCCAGGAAACAATTATTACGCATACCATATTTCACTGAAATGCATGCAAAATTAAAACCCAGCTGGAAAATGAAAGCAAACAGACATGATAACTTAGGGACACTGTCAGGTTAGGAATGTCTAACGCAACGTTAAGCACTAGTGTACGAAATTGAGTGCATGTGCTTGTTTACATGTAGCAGAAGTTACGTCCAATGACTTTGCAACGTTTCTGACAGCTCACAGTTTCACCTTATTAGAAAGTAAAAGCGCATTTGATTTATCAGGACAGTGAAAGTGAGCCTGACTTGCGAGGCTGCTGTCGCTAGTTTTTAAACTTTGGCAGCTCGTTAATGTCAAATATGCATTTAGTATCCTTACAACACCTGACAGTATCACTGAATGGTATTACCATGCATGATCTACTGCTTTCCCCTGCTTAAGAAAAATCAAATAGTGTTTGATTTCTTGCATAAACAAGTGAAGATGTTCTTCAGTCAAAATATTTTTATTTATTTTTTAAAAACAAACCATTTCTGGATTATACTTTTTTTTAATTAAACCCAATATTCAGCAGAAATTGCTTTTAGCTTCATGAGGTACCAGCTGTTAAATGTTCCAAGGATTTTAGGAATTATTATTCAATTTTTTTTTTTTAATCGTGAACATTGAGAACAAAATAAAAATTCATTCTCCAGCATAAATGATTTCCAAAACAACAATTACAACTTAAAATAACTGCAACAGTCTGCAGAGAAATAGGAGAGCAGAGTTGGCAAAGCTGACGAGGCAACTGAGCTTCCTTTCAGACAAGTTGATCAAAGAAAAATATAAACCAAACCCAGGGCCACTTCCAATTTAATATCTGCCAACACACCAGATCTCAAGCTAGGAATGAGCACCACCACTATGAAGAAGATCCAGCCTTAACCAGTTTAGTGAATTCAACATGGTATTTTCAACTTTTTAACGTATCGTAAAGCCAAGGAAAAGCATCACTTACTAAAAGAATAAAAACAGCTTTAAGTTTGCCTTTGTTTCTATACCACAGCATAAAAATATATAAGGATATACAAATAAGACTAGATTTAACTAGGGGTTTTATAATCCTCACATATTCTCTATAAGTACTCAGTATTTTATTAGCTACTGGAACATCTGAATTCCAGCAACCTGACACGAATCCCACAGGGAACCTAGAACAAAAACTCAGGTTGTCCCAGTATCCTGTACTTCACTGAAAGGATTTTATTAATTTCCACTGGACTCTGCACAGTCCTCCCCCCGCACCTAATCCCACTGGAGCTTTTCACATGTGATTAATCAGCAGTAACTAATTAGCTATATATATATATACAAACCCAAAAAGAAAGTAAAGAACTGCCATTAGGTAGTTTCTTATTTCACTAGGTCTCATTTTTCCCCATGGCTACATGCCTCTATCATAGAAATACAGGGCTGAAACTTAAAAAAAAAAAAAGTCAACCCTGTAATCAAGTTACTGCCAGTTTTCTGGGCTTCACTGAGTATCTTCCTGTTCTTGAACATATGGCTAAGAATTAGGAACAGGCTTGCAGCACTCATCATGTTTGCATTTCTTTTCAAGCTATGACTGGACACCAAACATGACATAAGATTCTCCTCTTTTCTATTCTCTGTTACCTCACTTGGGAATCACTCTTTTGGTGCATTTCAGTTTAGAGGTTCCTGCAGCATGGCCCAATGCAAACTGCGTGCAGACAGATGCACTGAACAGTTATACATCTATACATACACACAGTTGCATACAATCACATAAATCAGCTTACACCACTCAAATGCCAAAAAGAAATCTAACTTCTAGTTCCTGACAGCTACTGGCTTCTAAGCTGTGGGTATATACAGAGGCATTAATATGGTTTATATTTACTCCTTACTATGCATTGTTTTTACTGTGTCAACTTCTACTTGCCCTCTGCTGCCAAGCTACTTCATTTCAGAGCACTTCATCATGAAAAACACTGTTCTGGACTGCTCCGGGACACACAGATTCAGCAGCTACAGAGCAGCACACTGTGCCATGTAGAATTTAAAGGGACACAGTCAAGGAGGCAGGACGATTATTTTCACAGGGTGAAATCCTCACATGAAATACACAGGAGTTTCTACTTCCACAGCGAACAGAACAGGCCAGATACGAAGCACTCGCCGTGCTCTGCTCATGCCCCAGCATGACCACATCCATGCACTGTTTGGAAAAGCAAGCATGCACAGCTCCCTGCAGCGGGCTGCACGCAGCCAGAGCAAAGCTGCAACCGAGAGGCGACAAGCAGGCATGTGCACACAGCGACAGGAAGGACGAACAGAGGGGGTCCGGCTTAAATGTTACTGCCTTTCATGTTACTCTTACTTCCACCAAAAGGCCACGTCACCTTTTAGTAAGGGAGCAGTAACGACCAGCTTACAAAAGCCAGACATAAATCTGAGTACAGAAGTCATGACGGTGTCCCTTTAAACACAAACTTCTCTTTGAAATTTCAGAAATGTTTTCAACACTGACCACAACAGTAAGCAGCTGCAGATTTTCCAAGAGTTGATTTTACAGAACAGATCCTTGGCAATACGATGCTAAAAAAAATAAATACATCAGGTGCTCATTTCTAGCAGTTACCTGATTCCCCTCATTACGTAAGGTTGTCAAACAGCGAGAATTACCTGTCCAGAATATCAGTGTCATGTTACATATCCTATGAAAACCACATTAAATATTGATTAGTGAAACAGTCAGTAGTACACAAACCAAAGTATTTCACATTATTGAAACATCTGTAGTTAGAACACAGCAGATGATGGGAAGGGGGCAATGGAGTAGGGAACACACGTCAAGGCTGAGCGACAAATTTGAGTCAAGCAAACTAAGAAAAAAGGCATTAAAATGACCCCTCACTTATCATTAGTCACACAGTGTTAATCAGAACATTCAAATGTTACAAACGGGTTCTGAGAAGTTGCATTCATTCTCTGCCTCCCCCCCTACCTGTCCCCCCCTTTATAAATAAGGCAAGCAGTATGAAATATCACCAGGAAGGATGGGAATAGCTTCCTGAATAAACGAAGCTGAATTCACAGAAGCTAAAAATAGAATACATAAAAGTGAAAAGTGCTTCCAAAAAAAAATAGAAAAGGGAAAAAAGAATGGTATAACTAATGTATGTTCAGTAAAGGCACACAAGTAAAGGTAAACAAGCACCCCATTATTACAAGTAAGCTTCTAAACCATGCTGAGCATTCCTGCTCAGCCGTGCTGGAAAATGCCATGTTTGCATGGTGCTCCTCACACAGCGATCTGTCAGAGCCTCAAGAGAACAGCACCAAATGAATTTCTGACCAAGTCAATCAGCAGAAGCAGGGGAAAAAAAAAAACCAAAAAAAAAAAAGAACACCACATGTCCTAGAAAAGAATCCACAGGTGATTAGAAAAGAGACCATAGGTGATTACTACTTCCTGAATGTGAAGACATTCGGTATTTCAATTACACTGTTTAATTAAACTCAAATCATACTTTACAGTCTGTTAAATTAAAGTTCTGTCACCTACCTTTCTGTAACAGATGTTACCATGTATTCACAAGGAATAGTTCATTAGAGTAACAGTAAACAGCAGATGTGTGCAGCCAGTTACCAATTTATTCAGCTACAATAAAGAAACGGCACTGAACAAAGATGCCTTTGGTCTTGTTGTCAATGCACACTGGTCTCACTACTCAAAAATTAATTCAGTACAGCAATCAACCAATTCTACTTGCATGCTTCTACTTCTGAACATGGAATAAGAGCAGCAGGCTGCTGAAAGGAACTCCTGGGGTGTGGATACTGCTGAAGCCAGGAAGAAAATCTGTTTTAAGAAGTGTCAGAGCTCAGAGCAAACAGCTACAGTACTGCATTTCCTTTTTTGTTCATTCAAAACAACATACAGGTCTGGAAAGAGAAAGCATCCGGAAATTTCAGCACCATCTCTTACCCAAGATCTCCCTGCTCCATTCTGTTTAAACTTCAGCAATACCAGCACTTACTATTTAAGGGATTGTATCAAAACAAAACAATTGTACTGGATTTCTGTGTGCTCTTAAATCTCTTTCAGGTCGTTCTGCTGCAAACATGTTTCAGAACAAAATTCCAGTGTATACTAAATAAGAAACAAAGGCTTAGTACAACAGAAATTACTGTCCTGTGCAACAAGAACACCTTAAGAAATAATGATGCCAATTAACGTGTTGTTTTCATCCAGCAGTGAAGGAAGGGAAGGATAGAAGAACTTTTACAGTTATTAAGTTCTTAATTACATATAACTCAGTTTTGACAGCATTTCTTGTGAGTTAAGGGAATTTGAAAGTCAATCTACATACCTTCAACCTTCATTAATATGCAAAGGCATCAAATTTAAAAGAGTGAAACTTCCATTTTGAACAGAATCAAAGAATCTGTGGAGGTGGAAGGGACCTTTAAAGGCTACCAAGTCCAACTCCCCTGCAGTGAACAGGGACACCACAGCTACATCAGGTTGCCCAGGCCCTGATCCAGCCTGACCTTGAAAGTCTCCAGAGATGGGGCATCAACCACATCTCTGGGCAACCTGTTCCTCATCGCTCTCAATGTAAAAGACTTTTTCCTTACATCTAGCCAAAATGAAATTCATCTAGCTTGAAACCTCTTCCCTTCATTCCAACCCTGCTAAAGAGTCTGTCCCCTTCTTTCCCGTAGCTCCCCTTTAGGTACTGACAGGCCGCTATCAGGTCACCTCAAATCCTTCTCTTCTCCAGGCTTAACAGCCCCAGCTCTCCATCCGTCCTTGCAGGGAGGTGTTCCATCCCTGGGATCACCTTTGTGGCCCTCTGGATGCACTCCAACAGATCTATGTCCCTGCTGTACTGAGAACTCCACATCTGGACTTCAGTGAAGAGTTACTTTCAAGGACACTATATATTCAAATGTAGTTGGTTCAGTACAAATTCCAAGACTACAGCACTCCCAAGAAAGTTCAGGTTAAACAGACTTCTTTGTGATACTAGACGTTTTGCTAAAGATAAATTTTTGGAAACAAAAGCACTTCAGATCATCACAGATGATGCCAGAATCACTGATAAGTGCACTCAAACATTACAAAACCCACTCAAGCATTACAATGTGACTTGTTTATTCCTGAATTTAGTACTGCATGCTTTCAAACAAAACTGGGTTTTACTTGACATGTCAGTGGAGAAGTCAGCCACCAGTGAAAAGGTGACAACCTCCTTCATAAAGAAACTGCAGAAATGAATTTTAATTACATTATGCAGCTGGAAGCCAGTGATAAAGACTGCAGCACATTAGCAGATATCCACTCTGAGCAAACTTCTGACACAAAACTGAAGTGTGAAGCAGTCCAGTTTTGCTGCTAGCAAGCTTTGATGCTGCCAATTCGACTATGTCAGCAAATGTTGCAATCCCATCAAAATGCATCACTGACTGAGCCTGCCAACTACCACAGCAAAAAAGCTATATCCTTCACCATATGTACTTATTCTAGCTGATATTAAACAATAACTACTAT